CTCCTCCCAGAAGACCAGGGAGACGGGGAGCAGTGGCCCCAGCTATGCTGGTGGGAGCAGGAGACATGGGGGAGGGTGCTAGTGGGTGCTGGGGCAGGGGACAGAGTGCTGGGGTGGGGGCAGGGTTCTGCAGCAGGGAACTGCAGGAGAGGAGAGGGTGCCGGGGAGAGGGGACAGGGTTCTGCAGCAGGGGGCAGGGTGCCAGTGGGGAACAGGAGAAAGGGAACAGGGTGCCAGGGGAAGGGATAGGGTGCCCTGGACTTCGCCCTCCCCCTCCCCTTCCCCCTCTTGAGGAGCAGGGAAGCCCCTGTGTGCGCCTCCTCGAGTCCACTGGAAGGGTTGCTAGAGAACACAATAAGATAATTCCCCTACCCATGTGATGAACACACTGTTTCTATAGTGTTCACAGACTATGCAATTCAGAAGGAATGGGGCTCCAGCCTCAGTTCTCTTGTGTCGCTGCACGATGTGTGTCACAAAGCCCCTGGGTGAGTGTTTTTGCATGTGATCAGTCAGGGGCCTGCAAGACTGCTCAGCTGTAACAGACCCACCGTAACTGAAAAGCAGAATTATTGCTCTTGTTTGTACATGTCAATCAATGCTCAGAGTGGTCACGGTCTCATAACAAGGACGCTATATGGCAGATAGATGAGACACTGCAAGCCACAGGAGCACCAAATACTATGGTTGTTTTCAGTTGGTTCCTATCATTGGCATCACCCCTACTTACTGAAACAACAAAGGGAAGCTCAGATACTCATAAGAACATCTGATTTTCAACAGCCGCCCTTGGATTTGTAGTAGTGCAGTGAAAACAGGCAGCTTTGTTATTTAAAAGCGTTCAGCTCCAGCACAATAACTCTCATGACCGCATGTATTTAATATAATGGAATACCAGCACAGACATGCAAAAAGTGTAAGCATGGACAAGAATGCTAAATATTCACTAACCAGCTACTAAATATAACTTGGTTGGGTGTATGCTTTTGCTCACTTGGCTTGATTTGAGATAAGAAAGTTGCCTTGCTTCTTTTTAAAATGTAAAAGCGTATTTCATAACAACAGCAGCCAGAACGTCAAACTCCCCTTTAACAATATGGGGCCGTACTGTAGAAAGTTGAGCTTCAGGGGGTAGCCGAGTTAGTCTGCACACGATAAACTTTAATAACAAATGGTCCGGTAGCACTTTATAGACTAACAAAACATGTAGATGGTATTATGAGCTTTCGTGGGCACAGCCCACTTCTTCAGATGACCAGAGTGTTGAGTTTAGGATGTGCAGACCCAAAATAAATAGGGGAGAAAGAAGAGGGGGTAAGGAAAAAAAAAGGAAGGGGTGGGAAACAAGGAGCAGAGGGTATGAAAATATCAAAGGGAAAAACAAGTCAGCAGAACTGGTAATTTATAAGCACCTAAAGATTGGAGAGTTAAAAGAAGCAGATAAGGATCATAGGATAGCAATTAGATAGGAAGGATACTAGAAAGGTGGGCATGCTTCAGCGGAGAGAGACTAATGCTCTGAAGTTCCATGTGGACGACAAAGCCAAGCATCTCCCAATAGCAGAGCATGTGGGCTTTACTGCTGGTTCCCATTAAACACTTGGCACATTCAAGCAGCTCATGGGGCACATTCAGAGACAGATGTGAGAGAAATCTGCTTGAGAGTTCACAAGGAGACGAGAACGTCTCAGTCTGTCGCGCCGTAAATTGAGTTTGAAATTCAGTCATTCAGCCAGCCTGCTGAGAGCTGCTAGCTGGAGGTAGGCAAATTGCGGACACATTACATTTGTGACACCCGCTGTAGAAAAGCCCAGGGTGAGTGGCATGCAAACCACTGCCACAGTGGTTTGATAAGCAGCAAGAGGCCATGGCTGCTTTGACTATTGGAGCACAGACTTTATAAACAGAGCTAGTTTTGTGAGGGGCCAAAAATT